AAACACAAACGTCGCCCTCAAAACGGCATTCAGGCCGTCCTGCGCACGAATGGTCTTAAGAAATAATTGTAATGCTGGTTAAAATATAATATCATAGCAGCTGTATGCTCTTATTCATTTCTTTTCATTTGATTTACGATAGAATATTTCAGTCCGTTTACTTATTTATATTTATTTGTACTATAGCTTTGCACAGATTCTGCGTTACTTTTGAATTATTTGCACACACACTTGTTATAGTTATAGGATATTCACGGTGGGAATGCGGTTAAGGTAATTAAATACCCCATCCAGTCGAAACAGAAAAATAAAGTTATAAAAACCACTAAGATATTATCATAAGTATACAAATGCTATGTATATGTAATAATGAGTTTCGGGATGTAAAATAAAACAAGGTCTCGATATACAAGCCAAAATATCATTGCTTCTAAACACTCAAAGCTTCTGATACAAAACTGCTTAGAAAACATAAAAGGAGTAAAATAAAAAAATTAAAGTTATTTCATTTTATATTTTCCTGAAACATATCTATGTTTATGTTGAAACTGCTATGAAAGACCCTGTAAAAAGCGTCAATTTTGCAATGCTGTTTAAAGTATTATGTCATAGCAGCCGTATGTTCTTATTCATTTCTTTTCATTTGATTTACGATAGAATATTTTAGTCCGTTTACTTACTTATTTATTTGTACTATAGCTTTGCACAGATTCTGCGTAACTTTTGAATTATTTGCACACACACACTAGTTACTGGGAATGCGGTTAAGGTAATCCGATCCAGTCGAAAAAAAGTTATAAAAACCATTAGGATATTATCATAAGTATACAAATGCTATGTATATGTTATAATGAGTTTCGGAATGTAAAATATAACAAGGCCCCGATATAAAACCCAAAATATCATTGCTTCTAAACACTCAAAGCTTCTGATACAAAAAAGCTTAAAACATGAAAGGAGCAAAATTTAAATTTAAAGTGAAAAATAACTATGCTTATGTTGAAATTGCAATGAATGACACTCTTTAAAACGTCAATTATGAAATCAGAATTATTTAAAAATAATGTTTGAAAGTGTGTATAAATAATTTCAAGTTCGATAAATGAAGTTCCAGAATACTTTTGATAAATGAATGTTAGGAAATATTGAGATCAAAGAATCATAAGTTAACAATTGCATTACTCAAGAAAATAAAAATGTATTAAAAAGATGTACTATTTTTAAGTTAGTTTTCAATGATACCGAAACTGGAATAAAATGACGTTATTCAACCTTTTTTACTTGTAGAGGAATACTTCAGGTTGAAGCAAGCTAATAAGTATACGTTCCGCACACTAGCTGGTTAGCTTTCTCACATAGTAGAACCGGACTCGAAGCCATAGCAGTGAGGTGCAAGTGGTTTAAAGTGAGAGATTTTAACCACACAATCAATGAGAACGGTGAGTTTTAAAGGAAAAATGAAAGAAACACAACACTAATAAGTTTTCTATTTAAATTATCATTGAAAAGGCAACCAATTTTTGTATTTGTAAAATATCTTATTCTTGGGGCCTATTTTAGAATATTTCTTAATTTAAATCACTGCATAATGAAAAAGGACGCATTGGTCATAATTGTGTTGGTAAGTCTTATTATTAGACAAAACGTTTCCAAAATTCTATTGACCATTTGATTATATTATTTTTGAGATGATGCAACATAAAAATTACGTTTGTAGTCAAGTGGTTATAGATAATAAGCAAGTTTTATAATCATTGATTTTATTTATAAATATTTAATCTTAGTAACTTTTATTCAGGGTTATTCAAGGCCATACAGTTATGTAATATTAAATAAACATAAACACTGTATGTTGGACGTCGTTTAAACTTCCTTCTTGATTAGATTGGCATATGCTGGTAACTTTTCTTTTTCAATGATAATGTAGCAATTACATCTTAATCACAAATAGTCCAAGAAATCCGTGCATAAAATAGGATGAGTTGTGCACCTCTTGTGAAGAGCATGAAACTTGGCATGGTGGCAGGAAATCGTATTTCAATTCATTTCAGTCTGGGATCCACTTTTTAAAAATCCAATATGGCCGCCAAAATCCAAGATGGCCGCCATATATTAAATTTTCGGAATAATTGGGTATTTCAGCTGTAGTCATAACTAGAACTGTATGAAATAGCACCAATTCATTTAATTACACATCAATTTACATTCAAGCCTTGGACCCAGGTTGTGCAAATCCAAGATGGCCGCCAAAATCCAAGATGGCCACCAAATATTATTTTTTCAGAATATTAAAGTTTTACAGCTATAGTCATTACAGGTCAGTATGTAATAGCACCAATTTAATATATTACACATTTATATATATTCAAGCCTCAAAAACAAGTTGTGCAAATCCAAGATGGCTGCCAAATTGAAAATCCAAGATGGCCGCCACATTAAAATTTTCAGAATGTTATAGTTTTCAGCTGTTGTCGTCATTACAGAACAGTATGAAATAACACAAATTCATAATAATTGTATTACATAACTACATATTTATTTAAATTCAAGCCTGGGATCTAGTTTTTGCAAATCCAACATGGCTGCCAAAATCCAAGATGGCTACCATATAAAAATTTATTTGATTATTTTAGTTTACCAGCTGTAATCATTTTCAAATTAGTATAAAATAAAATAAAAACATTATATTACACGCTTTTTTAACATATCAGTATGTAGATACTCTATTAAAGATATCAACATGGGTGCCAAAGTTAAATATGGCCGCATAACCTAATATAATTATGAAACTGTTTTAAAAACATCCATTTCATATTGAAACATGCTCATAATTAAACTTAGATTTATTTTCTTAAAGCATTTTTACTTGGTTTAAGAACACAATAAAAGAAACAAAAGTACTTAAAACAAAAAATGGGGGTTAAACCATCTCATAATTTCATTACCTGCCCTTGAATAAGAATCTCTTTGCTAGTTATAGATAATTTCAAGGGCAAGTAACTTGCAATCAAACTAAGCTGAGCCTTATTCCAATGAATTAATATGTAGCTGACCTCCTATTGGGTCATTGTGCAAAAGTTAAAGGAATGGTATAGAACCTTTTGTATATTCTTACCAACAGCTCTGCAATTCCCCCCACACCCACCCCTCCCCCACAAAAAACAAAACAAACAAAAACAAACAAACAAACAAACAATCACTTCATAATAATAATTTCATAGGATTCTAGGCTATGAAATTTGTATTTTGATAGCAATAAAAAGTAAAACGTAACCATAAAACTACTTGAACTATCTATATTTAAGTTCTGCGTCAAAAATGACCAGTTCTTAAAAATGTTTCTGGATACTAGCCAAAGTAAATTGCTGAAAATGTTTGAAATATTGATATTTCAACATTTTTACATCAGTTCGTTTTTATACTAACTTAAGCAAGGTACTGTTTTTAAGTCTTATCAACTAATACTGATCAGTATAAACAAGTAAAATTAAGTCAATTATTCATAATTAACACCTATTGATCTAGTACTGAATGATGGTACAGTTAAGGTCAATTTAGTTTCATTGTTATTGTGATTCTAGAAGCTGCAAATAAAAACAAAAAAGAAAGCTGAACAAGTGACAAGCTACAATGATTTTCAGCAAACGGTAAAACAAACCTCATGAATTAAGCTAAACGCGGCATGATTTCACTAGTTCTTGTGTACAGTACTTTTATGACAGTTGTGGAAAAAAGTAAAAAAGAAAATAAATAAAAAAGACTGAGATTTAAAAAGCAACCATCTGTAATATCATGAAAGACATATTCTTATGAAAGGCTTTATCTGGCATTTCAACTGCTATAAAATATAAAAGGAAGAAATAGACAAGAAAATTAAGAGCGATCCCATTTAAACAGCCCTTAAATTCGCAGTAGTCAGAAAGTTAGTTGTTCAATCTTACAAATGGAGTCTTATATCAAAATTATCAAATATAAAGAGCTGTAAAGTCTAAACTTGATCTCATATTTAATCATGAATGACTAATTAATAATGCCAAACACTTAGTTTGATTACCGAAAAACCCAAGATAATTTTTTGTTCAATATTATTCTGATTTTCTAATTTATTCACAAGACCTTGCCAAAATAATGCCATAAGGGCCTAGCTAGCTGATTCCGATATCTATGACACAAAATATGCTGTCCAAATTACTTATAAAAAAAGGACTCGCAGCTGCAGTAAGACGGTCATAAGGATGCTAAAAAATTAATTTTTTTAAAAAGAATTTACAGGAGAAGAAACCCGTACGTCTTCCGACACTAGTATAATTCATACTGAACATTTGGTTCAAATAAGCTTAGGAATTGTCTGCACTTAAATATAGATTACAATAGAGGATTATTTCACCCTTTTCATGCATTAACATCTACAGAAGCGCTAGGATCTATTTAAAGCCCTCATCCTATGGGCTCAGGATTTCACTTCTGCAGATGTGGATGCACAAAAACATGTATTAGAGTCATTCTTGTATAAAGGGATATGACTGTCTCGTTGATTCTACGATATGTTGTTTTCCACATAATGAAACTGGTTTCGTATTGATTTTAACTAATTGTAAGGTAACTGGGGGCCATCGTTAAAATTAGCAGTTAGCATGGTGTCAAAATCATGCACATTATTAAGAGCTATCAGTAGGACATCATAGAGTGCTCGACTGTTCTCAATGCTTGATACCTACATAATGAAGAATTCTCCATATTTAAAAGGGCCATAATTCCGTCAAAATCCATTATAGAGTTAATTGCCTTTAATAGTGACCTTATATTATGCTTATAAATAAGTGTATTAGGTGTATACCTATTCCATTATGTAATTTTTACAAAACAATTTTGAAGTGGAGCGACAGTTTGCCGGGCGTGAAATGAGATTTGCATAAAGCGCCGTCATTTTGTATACTACACAGGTTTAAACGCGGTATGATAATGGGGCACACTTTACATTCGTTACGGTATTACTATCGTCAACGAAGCGTTATCTTTGTGTCAAAACAGGAAGTAAATATTGAAGTTTAAAATGGCGTCTGGTGGGAGTGAACATTCGTCCGACGAGATTTTTAATTTCAAATGTTTGCCTTGTTTGGACGATAAACGAAATAGAGAAGCTGCGAAATACTGTGTGGAATGTCAGGGATACTATTGTCAATCATGCGCCGACATGTATCACAAAATGCCGGGATTAAAGAGTCACACATTTTTGGATCAGACAAATTACAAGTCGTCAAGTGGCATCGGAGGATTGCCAGCAATACCCACTCAGAGATGTAGCGTTCATGAGACAAAGATAGTAGACATGTATTGTGGTAATCACGACGAGGTTGGTTGTACAACTTGCATGGCGCTAATCCACAGGTAAGTAATTATTTTTAAATATGTAAATTATATGAACCTGTTTAAACAGAACGTTGAAATGATTGTATAAAGGCGATGACAACTTACTCATTATCATAGCAGAATAAACATAGATAAAATGAAACAACAAACGTAGTCAATATGGCCAATCCCCACCCCCTCGTAAAATTAAAAATAATCGAAATGTGTCAATAGGGCACTGGTCAACACTATAAACACTAATGTTCCGACTTGATTTGCTTTTTTCACAGTACAGTACATGTAGCATATTTACATACTTCTGCATATTTCACAAACGTAAATTATTAATAAGTATATATACATGTATAGTGTATATATGTACAAGTTTTATTACTACTAAATTCCATAAACTAATAACTGAGGAAACTCTTGTTATTGATAAGACCAGGATTTTACACCAGGTGTCACTGTGTTATTGACCAAATGACCTCTAAATATGAATATGGGTGTGGTCATCTACTGGTCAAGAAAAATATGCATACCCATATAAATAAAGTAATCATTATTTCTTCCCAATGAGACAAGAGTTTTACAAAAGTATTAATGTGACCATGACTTTTGACCTCATGACCTTTAAATCAATAAAGGTCATCTACATCTACTGGACATAAGCAATGTTCCTACTAGGTAAACTTCACTAGGGGGCGTGAGGGATGTTGCAATTATTCATTATACTTCATTTACAGACTCAATCAAACCGATTCTGTAATTTTCATGTAATATTGTTGTTATTAATGCTTTCGAGGGGTCACTTTGTTTCCGGATTTTTGTACTTCACAACAGCTGGTGTCAAGTGCTGTGTGGCTGCGGTAAATAGTTGCCCGTATTATTAATTTATTCACTTAATTGGGTTTTACGTCACACCGACACATTATAGGTCAAATGGCGACATTCGAGGAAAACCTCAAGTGCCATTCCGTGCATTATTTCAGGGACGAACGGGCACCTAAGTAGAACCTCCGAAGTTCCGTAAGTTAGCTAGATAGCTTCCTCACATGAAAGAACCCAAAGTCCCTGTCGAGATTCGAACCCACAGCGCAGAGGGGCAAGTGGTTTGAAGTCAACGACATTAATCACTCGGCCATGGACGCCCCAAGTTGCCCCGTACTTCACACTTCAGTGTTGTTATATCTTTCTGGTCCTTCGGGATCATTGATGCCAGCACTATTAGGTGTTGAAAATTGAGTACCGATCAAGCCGGTGCTAAGTGCGTCAGGGATGTTGCACAAACCGAGTGTGTAATTTTCATGCAATTTTGTTGTTATTAATGCTTTTGAGAGATCACTTTGTCTCCGGAATTTTTCTTCATAATTTTATTATCAGAAAAACAATTTTGCATTAATTGTTTCGTGAACTTGACTGATCATCAAATGGCCATTGGCTATTTCTATTCTAAGCAAGATAATCTAAAGCGTATTCCTTCTTAAGATATTGTCAAGTATTTTACATGAAGGTAACTATGAACTTGACATTATGGCATTTATATCTAATGGCCTCGAAATCAATAGAGGTCATTCATTTGCCACGGGTATTTTCCATACCAATTAAAATACCTTCGGATGTAATTAACCAAACAAGGGTCACTGTAATCTAGACCTTTGACCTTATGGCTTCAGTATCATCAATTCAATGTAACATAAATTACTTTTTTTGAATTTTTGAACGAAAAAAGGATTACAGGACGTACGGACGTTAAGACTTAACAATCTATTACAATATGTCCCCAATATTTTTAAGTGGGAGCATAATAGATTTCGCTACAAGTGCCTGTCAGGTTTCTCTTATTATTTAATATCAACTCTTGTAATTGAGATTACTGAACGGAACATGTGTTATGTTAGTGTTCTCCAGTGAGTTCATTTTAAGTTCATTGTATTTCTTATCTACATTATGTAGTATAAAAAGTAATTGTAATAAATTTGTGCATTTCTTTCTAATCTATGACACCTTTATTCATTCCAGGTTGTGCTCTGGCGTAAAGTCAATTCCGGATATTGTTGACAAAGCACACAACACACAAGACATCAAAAAGTTAAACGAAAAATTGAAAGATTTAAAAAAGTTGAAAGAAAAATTAATTGATACTAAACGAGCTCAACGAGAAGATTTAAAGGAATCTAAATTTGATGCGATAAGAGAAATTAAAAACTATCGTGAAGAACTCGACGTCATCTTAAACAACATCGAGGAAGACTCGATAGCCGAGGTTGAAAAAATATTTCAAGAAGTTGACTCGGAGCTTTTCCAAGAGAATACAGTTACAGAAGACGAAATAGCTCGCCTTGAACAATTGTTGAATGATTTGAAACAATCAGAGGGTAACAAGGCCCAGCAGTTTGTGTCAATGAAAATATCTTCTTCATACATTTCAAAGATGAACGACGCAACTTTTCCCGAAAAATCCAGTTTTGAGACGAGGATTACTATCAATGTTGATCCTAAGATAAAAAGCACTCTTCAAAATCTCAAAACGTTCGGACGTGCTCTAAGACCATCAACAAAAACAAAAGTCTGGACAGTGGAATGTATTAAAGATTTAGATATCCGCCTTCAATCTGAAGTGAATACAGTTGTGTATGGAACATGTTTAACAACAGATGGATTCTTACTTATTGCTGATTGTCAAAATAAAAAACTAAAGCGTGCAGATATACAAAATATGATTGCAAAAGAATATTGTTCACTTCCTGGATCGCCATGTGATGTGTGTTGTACAAGTGATACTGAAGCTGCAGTCAGTTTGAGCGATAAATCAGTTCAATTTGTCGCTCTAAACAGCCAGCTTCTACTCACAAGAAATATCAAATTTAACCACATGTGTTTGGGCATTGCATGTAACGATCAGAAACTGTATTTAACTGACAATGGTAGCTCCTTATACATGTATGATTTAACAGGTACTTTTTTGCAAGTTGTTACTCAAGACAATAATGGAAAGAATATATTCTCCTGCACGCGACATATTGCTTTTAGTGATGTGGATGATAAAATGTTTGTTGCAAGTTGGAATGGTCTTATTTCCTTGGACGGAAAAGGGAATTACTGTCAGACATTTACTGATCCTGAATTGAAGTCTGTGTCAAGTGTTTGTACCAATGGAATAGGAGCTTTGTTTGTATCCGGGTATAGTTCGGATAATGTAATACAATTTGACAGCAGTATGAAGAAAATGGGCGAAGTCATTAAGCCATCAGATGGATTAAGAAATATTTATTCAGTTTGTTTTGACAAAAGAAAACGTGCATTAGTTATTACAGGAGACAGATGCAATGTTGTCAAAGTTGCTTTTTTGAAGTAAAATTTATTTCAACTTGTTGAATGTCAGTAAATGCAGAGGAAGGAACATATATATTATTACTATCCTTATTTTCGTTAATATTATATTTCCTTTACAAAGGTGCGAACTATATTTGTCCGTTTTCAAAAGAATATGTATGCTCAATGTGCTCAAAAACGTTCTATTTATATAAAAAAATGGCAAAGAAATGGTAATTTCTCAAATTTTAAGAAGACCGTTTAAAATGTAATCTGATGCACCTTCGTATATATACCTTTATTAATTTAATCATCGTAAATATTTGTGTTGAAAAGTAGCATTCTAAAAAAGTATAGATGATCTCGAAAGCCATGTATATTGAAACAAATGGGTTTCTGTAGATCTTTTAAAATGAAACAAGCCAAAATGTACAAAATATTTAATACTGTGATTTGTTTTCATAAAAACTTGGAAAAAACTCTAATCATCCCTTGCCTCACCTTATCTTAAAACGATGCAAAGATTTTTGATATGTCTATAATGTAATAAAGCACATTGATACCATACAAAAATAAAAGTCTTGAAAATGGGAGATCATTCGAGAGAAATACAAAACACTATCAAAAAGGTCAAATTTCAGATTCAGAAAATTGAAAATTTATCTCGAATTAAAACAAGAACACAACCTACAAAGAACCATAGTTCTTTGATAAAACAGTGAGCATTTTTTTGAAAATGATAGCATTTTTCTTCATATTGCAGTTTCTCATTTCCATATATTATCACCATAAATGTGACCATGGGCGACTCACAAATAAAAGTCAAATTAGTCTAGTTTAGTTACTGTTTTTTAGATTTGTAGGAACATTAAGAATTAAGAGAGTCGATGCAAATTGTGGAAAAAGAAGACAAGCTATCGCTCCGGTCAATATTACGAGGGTCATTCAATAAATAATGAAACCATCTTAATAACTTTTAAACTAATGATTCGAATTCCATAGAAAATTTACACGACTATGCGTCATTTTTTTTTTCGAATTTTTCACAAAGTTTGATGACGTTATATCATGTTACGTCTTCACAGCTTGACGTTAACTGACGTCACTTAAAGCGTCATGGCCGCGTTCACATCGCAGGAGCAGCGCAGTTCAATAAATTTGAAGTTCAGTGTAAGAAAAGCGCGAAAGAGATATTCAATGCATTACATAAAGCTTGCGGCACATATGCTTTTTCGTATGTACAAGTTACTAGATGGGTGAAAGAATTCAAGGACGGCAGGGACAGTGTTAACGATAACCATCGACCAGAGAGAAATGTTACAGCTACTGACTCGTATAGTACGGTCCATGTAAAAAAAGCTTTTAGATCATGACAGAAGGATATCACGTGAAGAATTGGCACAGGAACTGGAAATAAGTGTAGGATCGGTTCATACAATTATTCGAAACCATTTAAAAATGCGCAAGGTTTCGGCAAGATAGGTTCCACATCGCTTGACATCGGAGCAGGCAGAACATCGTTTGAACATCGCTAGTAACCATCTTTCACGGTTAAGTAAAGAGGCAGGGACTTTTTATCAAGAATTGTGGCTATTGATGTAAAATCGTATGAGCCAGAGTTGAAAAGACAATCAACTGAGTGGCATACTCCTAACTCTTCGAGGCCAGCAAAGTTTAGACGGGAACAGTCAAAACTTAAGATGCTGATGATATTTACATACGATATCCATGGTATATTGAAAATTCATAAAGTGCAAAGTGGAAAAACTATCAATGGCAAGTACTATGAGGAGTACCTTAAAAACACCTTAGACCAGCGATTCGAAAAAAGCGTCTGAGCTTTAAGCGGCTTATCCAATAATCCTTCATGACAACGCAACGACACACGGTGTAGAGGGGGTGACGTCACTGTTTCAGTCATACGGATTGGAAATATTAGCTCACCCACCTTATTCCCCGGATATAAGTCCCTGTGACTATGACTTATTTCCCAAGCTGAAGGAAAATATGAGAGGAATACGTTTCGACGACCTAGACGAGCTTGAAGTTGCCGTGGTCGAGCAGGCGAGCATGTGAGCGTGGTTGCCTAGCAACGGGAATAGAAGACCTGCCGAAGCGCTGGACATCGGTCTTTGACCACAAAGGATATTACTTTGAAGGATTATAATAAGGTAAGAATGATATCTAACGCTATTAAGAAATTATGTAGTAAGTTTCATTATTTATTGAATGACCCTCGTTGTTTTTTTCAGTACATATCACATCATGTTGACCAGCTAAAAGTCCACATTTGTATAATAATTACACAAAGTATTTTTTAGTTTGATTTTGTAAGAAACTATTAAGTCATAAACACTCTTTTGAATTCGTTACTTAAACCAATGAATAATAATTTCAAAAGTTTTTGATAAAACAAACAGACCTTCCCCGTAACCATAGATGTAGATAGATTCAGATGTTATCTTTGTCTGTGCCGTAAGTGGGTTTAGCCCACGTTGTTAGCAACCCTCATGTATATAATAAAACTATATAATATGTCATTTTAGTTTGCTCCTGACTTTTTTAAGGTAATAAGAAAACTAACTTGAAATATATTACTACATTGTAAATTCCTTTCTTTTTTCGAGCCACGTGGTTTAATATGTTTTTCTTATTATTTTTCCGCCTTTTTATGAGTATTGGTATAAGCTATAAGTATATAGATAATTAAGCATACAAGTCAGAAAATATTTAGGTTAAAAGTTTATAAGATTTTATTGAAATTACGTTGGATTTAAATTAAAGTGATATATTTTGGACATTTAAAATTATTAAGGTTTCTGTCTTTAAAGTTATAATAGAGTTTTATATGAGTATAGTTAAAACTGATGACTAGAAGTCATTAAAGAAAAGTATCATAAATAAAAAATATTAAACTGTTAAACGTTTCTTGTGTTAAGATTTATGAATTATATTACTAAGTAATTGTTATAACAAAAAGTTGTAATAAATACTTAGTAGTAAAAATCTTAATGCAAAAGGTGAAAGAAAGTAAAACAGTGTTTAAGTGTGGTATTATAATTTTACTCTACGAAACTTTATTGAAAGAAAAAGAATTTCATTTATTTTATGCTTTTCAGTGGATTACTGATTTATCCGTGAAAATTATATTTGATAATTTCACAGTGAAAATTATCAAAATATAATTTCACTTTTTTCAATGACGAAACTACTTTTTTAAGATTTTCCCCATGTGGTACCTCAATTTTATTTTTACTGACAATTCTGACAATGTCAGGCTGTTAAAAGAAATAGCAAAGCTGAAATAGATAAATAACTTAAATGTCAAAAGTAATAAAGAGAGAAAACTTACTTCTATTCATTCAAATTCCAATCACCAAATTTCGTCTCTAAATTTTTTTGTTTCGTTTTTACAGTCTGAAAAATACATTCCTTCCCCATGCAAAACTGCTCTTGATGACATTTGGGCATATTAAAGTATCCTACGAGCAATAACTGCCGTATGCTTTATGAAAAATTGAAAAGCATTGACAGCCATCACTCGTAGAATAAGTAAAACAACCCAGCGTTCCTTAGCAAGCTTCCAAGTTTTCCATTTTCCTAGCTCCTTTTCTGAATGTTTTCACTTCTGTCAACACTTATTTTTTGTCTCTTACAATCCTCAAATAAGTTTTCTTTCTTTTAAAAAGGTGTATGACTAACAAATCCAAATTATCTCCCTCTGAATCTTACACAATTATTTTCCTCCCATGAAATACACAACTTTAAAAAATGGCTGCCGCTTACATTTTACAAAGCCAGGTCTAATATAAATTCGCAGTAAGTAACAGAAATATGGATGGATGGTTGGACTTTTTCTCCTACAAGAATTGTTTGTTTTTATTATTAAAACAAGCGATCATTCATATTTTTTTAATAAAATGAATAAATATCCCCGTCATTTAACCTTGATTGGCGGACTTGTTTTTCAGCTCAAGACTTCTTGCTTTTAATGTGAAATTCCGTCTAAATGGGGCTCTCAATGGGGGAAACAAATTTTAATATTAACGTTAAAATTATGGAAATTTCGTTTTAACTTGTTTTTAAGCATAAAATAAAAAGAAAATTTGTCTGTTTGTTGTGTAAGATGTAATTTTATTTCATCTCGTGAACTTTAAAAACAGTATTCTCACTCGTGGCTACGCCACTCGTGAGAATACTGTTTTTAAAGCCCACTCGATGAAATAAAATTTCATCTTACACACAAACAAACAAATATCCTCTATATCATATTTGTTAAAAATAAATGTGAACTATACATATGAATGTGAGCGGAGTCAAAATTCATATTTATTTTTAATTGACTACTCCATCAGATGTCAGTAGATTCATTTATTTGTTTCATTTCATAAAATTTTGATAATAATTCTGGTTACGTTTATCTCAACAAAGTTAAAGATGGCAGAGATAGTCTACGTGTTAAACCGCGTCACGCACAATATGCTACTCACAGTTGCTTATCAGGCGTGATAATACTTACATGTTTAAAATCTTGTTTTAAAATATTTTTTTATTTCGTTGGTTACATTGAGAAAATAGTATATTACAGCAACTCTAGTCTAGATAAAATATTTTAAAAGCATGTTTACTAATAACTCAAGTCATGTTTATATAATACATATATGTAATGTCTATATACTCAAGATATATTTTAATCAATAAAAATCAATTTTTTTTCAGTGTCGTTATAATGTTTTCCTCATTATTTTTTATACTAACGAATGAGTATAGATTTTGTCTTCAATATCATTTGGATACTGCTGTGGTCATTTTTTAAAATTAAGAGTGAAACATGATCATTTAATTGCTGTCATAGGAATATAATTAACTTCCGTAATCGCTTCCTTTCCTTTTTAAATGCACAAATATTTCAAAACAACAACAACAACAGAAACAGCATATTTTGAGATGCAGTAAGATATTAAATTGAACGAATCAACATTTTGTCATGTCTAGCAATATACATTATTTGTTAAATGCCACTTTTTCACCATAATATATGGAGTGTTGCAGCCTTTGAACCAAGTTTCTGTTAAACACTATTTCCCGTTTAATTATGGCACAAAATTTGCAACGTTTGTATGCATATTTCATGCTTTTTATAATAAAGATGCAAAAAAGAAACTCTAATTTTTACAGTATCTGTTACCCTTTATGTCAATAAAAAAAAGGTTGGCTTGTTAGGTTCAATTGATGACGTTTTTTCCCGTCAAAATGAATCTGAAAACTTGGTATTCTATTTCTACCAATAAATATATTATTTGCCTCTCACCGTGAAATTTTAATTTTACGAATATGTAGTTTTCCAATTACATAAGCTTAAGATCGTGAAAATCTTTCTAAACAAAAGTCAAATATGAAATATATATTTTTTTTTAGATTTATCAGCATGAGAAATCATATAAGAAACGAAAATGAAAATCCAGATAAAGTTACAATAATGTTTTATGACCTTGTTTACATAATAAATTATCACCTATTCATGGCTTCTGTATGCTTAAGATAGATTAGGTAAAGGTAGCCAAGAACTACAAACATCTTAAATTCACGTTTCCACTTCATCATGTTTACTACCCGATAAAATGTAAATATTTCAAATTGACAGTTTTCATGTGGAAAATGTGTTTTAAATGTAGAAAAAATATATTTGCCGGTAAAGCAACAGAATAACGACTTCGTTTCCTGTAAATCAGTGCGTAACAACACGAATATCACAACATATAGTCTATACAGTAGTTAAAATTGTATAACAATGTTATATACTGAAACCATATATTCCTTTTTATAAAAATGA